GGATCTCTTCCAGTCAGTCGGCCAGGTAGCTGTCTTCCAAATGTCTTGGCATAGCTGAGTGAGTGCCTCCAGCAGGGCATTCATTTGTTGAAACATTTCAATAGGTATTCCATCAATTCCTGGAACCCTGTTCTTCACCAATTCCTTCAGTGCAACTTCAACTTCTTCCTTCAATACCATTGGTTCTTGACCAGATGCCACCTCCTGAAATGGATGAAGATCGACCAGTTCTTTTTGGTACAGTGACTCTGTATATTCCTTCCATCTTCTTTTGATGCTTCCTGCGTCATTCAACATTTTGTCCATAGAATCTTTCAATATTGCAACTCGAGGCTTAATTTTTTTCTTCAGTTCTTTCAGCTTGAGAAATGCTGAATGTTCTTCCTTTTTGGTTCTTTAACTCCAGGCCTTTTCACATTTCATTATGATAAGTGACTTTGTCTTCTCAAGCTGCTCTTTGAAATCTCCTATTCAGCTCTTTTATCTTGTCATTTCCTCCATTTGCTTTAGCTACTATCTACTCAAGGGCAAGTTTCAGAGTCTCTTCTGACATTCATTTTGGTCTTTTCTTCCTTTCTTGTCTTTTTAATGACCTCTTTCCTCATGGATGATGTTCTTGATGTCATCCCATAATTCCTCTGGTTTTTGATCACTGGTGTTCAATGCATCAAATCTATTCTTCAAATGGTCTCTAAATTCAGGAGGGATATAATCAAGGTCATATTTTGGCTCTTGTGGACTTGTTCAACTTCAACTTGAACATGAATATGAGCAGTTGATGCTCTGCTCCATGGTCAGCTCCTGGCCTTGTTATGGCTGAAGACGTTGAACTTCTCCATGGCCTCTTGCCACAGATGAAGGCAATCTGACTGTGATGTGTGGGGCGCTCACTGGCTCGTTCCCAGAAGCAGATCTCCAGGCCTGTCTTCCCAGGCTGTCTTGGTCTGGAAGCTCCACTGAAGCCTGCCCACCACGGGTGGTCCTGCTGGTGTTTGAAATACTGGGGGCATAGGTGCCAACATCACAGCAACACATAGACCATTGCAGTATGACAAAGTGACAGAAGTGTGGCCTCCTCTCCCCTAAAGAGCAGAAGAAAGATCTCCGGTGCTACTGGCTAGCTTGGGGTGAGGCCTCCTTAAATAAGAGCCACACGAGATAAAACATTTAAACAAAAAAGTAGCCAAATTTCTCAGAACCTGATTTCAAGCAGCTGGATCCCAGTCACTAGGGAGGAATGTATTAAAGCATCCACTGTCACGGTCACCCACAAACACATCAGAAACAACGTGCCCCCCCACCTCCCCTACCAAACCCACCCTTCATTTGCCATTTTCGACTTTCAGGTTTCCTCTCTGGTGTTTCTGACATCATAAGCTTACATGGCATGTAACAAAAGGACAACTGAGATGTGGAAATTCACCTGAAGCTACAATGCACCATGTGGTTCAGAGGGGAGGGCAGAGCCAAATTGCAGTCGGAAACTTGAAAGGATTTACCATTCAACCAACGCCAACACAGTCAGATACAGGCAGAGCCCCTTGGCCATGGTAGAGTGGGCATGGCGTGAAGCAGCTGGGCTGGTGAGGTGGGCTTTAAAAACTGGGGTCAGGAACTTTAAGGTGTGACCCTGGGTGGCAATACTGTTCTAAATCGATATCCTTGAGGTTGTTCAGGTCAGGGATGGCTCAGGTGTTGGTCCAGTCTTTGAGGCGGACAACACAGACATGAACAAATTCCTCAAGTTCAGCCAGGCCGGGAGGTGCTGGCAGCCCCACCAGCAAACCAGTCAGAGGGCAGGCGTCAGAGCCGCGCCCTGTCAGCTGGCTAACTTCCCTGCACTGTGCTCAGCCGGCTCTTGGCCAGATTCCCCAGGAACCACACCTACCGAAGGCCCCACTCAGGCCCGAGGAGCCCACACTTCTGCCCGGGAGAGCCGGGGGTAGCTTGTATCACAGGAAGGGGTATTACCTGAGCTTCCTGACAGGCCGCTCTCCTCAGCAGGTTATCACTATCAAACAAACAAAAGAGAACGGCATTAGCTTCTCGGAGGAGGTTCAGAGCCACACAAAGAAATCCAGTGCTTAGATTTTTTTTAATACACGTTCCTCTCTCCATAAAATACCAAGTGACAACTCACAGCACACGTGAAAAATACTTCCCTGGGATGGAACTGTGTGCTAACTATTAGCAGATGGTGGGGGCAGGAGAGTGGCCCCCAAACATGGCCACGCCCCACTCCTCAGAAGCTGTGAGTGTTTCCTCACATGGCGTAGCAGCTCGGCTCGGCAGGGGTGAGGAAGGCTAGGACCCGAGGTGGGGAGAGTCGCCTGGGTTGCTCATCCTACGAGTCTGGAGAACGTTTCCCTGCTGTGGTCAGAGCCAGAATGTAGAGGAAGGGGCACAGAAGCAGCCAAGGGGCAGCCGCGAGCCAAGCAGTGAGGGCGGCCTCCAGCAGCTAGAAAAGGCAAAGACTTGATTCCTCCTCCAGGAGGAACCAGCCCCGCCCAGGCCTTGATTTCAGCCCTGTGAGGTCCATTCAGACCTCTGCGCTCCAGAACTTCCGACACGACATCCGTGTCATTTGTGAGTTTGTCACGGCAGCAAATCCTATGCTTTATTGTTGTTGTTAGGTACCCAGGAGGTGCTACTGTCTTATCTAAATAAATGAATAATAGCACTTTTTCATACATGGTCAGGCACTCAACTGTATCGTCAATGGAAATTTTTAGCACAAGATAACATTCTAACTTGCAAAAATGAGCAAATCCTATCAGAACATGTGCATTTTTTTAACGCTCTCCGTAAGAGCACTCAGATGGCTGTTTCCCTCCAGGAGTCCAGAATCTTCTCCACATAACAGGCAACACTGGCACACGCTGCCGGTGTCGTGATGGGGAACCAGTGCACGCTGCGTCGCAATGGGGAATCCAAGCTGGTTAACAGACGAGAAAACCACTACCAGGAAAATGGCTGATAACCAATTTACAGGAAAGAATTTAAAAGAAAGGATTATTTACCTATATTCTTCTTAAGTTCACATTTTCACATTAATCCAAATTTTGAAATCTGAGGCTGAAGTAAAAGTTAACCACCTTGTGCTCTCTGCCACCACTGCAGTCAAGACTGCTCAGTGACGTCTCTCTGTAGCAAGGCTGCAGAACGTGGCCCAGACCAAGAGGCTGCAGTGAGAAAACTCTCCCACAGGGTACCATGCGGCCAGCCTGAGGACTCGCACAGCAGTCTACTAAAGCAATGACGACACGAGGACCTCCACGCCCACAGCGTCGGACAGCGAGGACGGGGCGCGACCTTAGGGAGCCAGCCCAGGTGGCTGCCCCAGCCAGGTCATCTCCATAGACTGAGCTGCATTGCACTGCCCACCACCCAGCTAGCTTCTGGCTAGCTTGGGGTGGGGGTCTCCTTAAATAAGAAATGGATGAACATCATTCATCCATTTCCCACCCATACACCCACACACCCACTGCCCCAGATCCCCTCCCACCCCCGCCCAGCCACCCACCACCCCAGCTCCATGCCTGTCCACCCACTGCCC